TGGCTAACTTTTGTATTTTTAGTAGAGTCGGGGTTCTCCTTGTTGGTCAGGCTGGTCTTGAGCTCCTGACTTAAAGTGATTCACCCGTCTCAGCTACAGGCATGTGCCACCACACCTGGCCCTCTTTGTTCTTCTTTATGGGTGTTTGGCTATAGTTTATAATCAAATTTTAAAATTCTAAACAGTATTTCTGTAAAAAAAAAAAAAAAAAAAAACCTATGCTATTGGATTATAGAGATTATATTGAATTTGTTCACCACTATAATTTGTATTGACATCCTTGAAAAATTAAATTTTTGACCCCTGAGCAAGAAAATGTTGAAGAATGTGTTTAATTTTCATTTACTTTTTGATCTGCTAGTTTTACTTTTGCTCATAATTTTTAGTTTCATTCAGTTTTTGTCAGAAAACTGAATAATTTTGATCTTATTTATTTGTTGTTATTTTGAGATAGGATCTTACTCTGTCACCCAGATTGGAGTGCAATGGCATGATATTGGTTCAATGCATCCTCAACCTCCTTTGCTCAAGTGATCCTTCCACCTTATCCTCCTGAATAGCTGAAACGACATCATGCACTAACATGTCTGGCTAATTTTTTTGATTATTTGTAGACACAGGGTCTCACTATTTGCCCAGGTTGGTCTCAAACTTCTGTCCGCAAGTGATCCTCCCACCTTGGTCTCTCAAAATATTGGGATTATAGGCATGAGCCACTGCACCCAGCTAGTATTCTTAAATTTAATAACATTTGGTATATGTCCTAACGGAATATACCAGGTACAAATAGGAATATTGTGCTTTTTACTAGAGAGGATCTCTTGCTTTTGACTGGAAAGTTTTGTATGAGTCTGTTAAGCCTCTGTGGTCTATAACATGATTTGGATGTCCATGTTCTCAAAACCTGTGACTGGCTCATTTTATTTTGCATCGTGTCATTGAATTTTCACTTTATAGTTGTTAGAATATTTCCTGCGTTTTAAAATCTGGGTGATATTCCAATTTTTCTTTGTTTTATTTTGTTTGTTTGTTTTTGAGACGAGTCTCACTCTGTCGCCCAGGCTGGAGTTCAGTGGCTCAATCTTGGCACACTGCAACCTCCACCTCCTGGGTTCAAGCAATTCTCCTGCCTCAGCCTCCGGAGTAGCTGGCACTACAGGCACGTACCACCACGCCCAACTAATTTGTGTATTTTTAGTAGAGGAGGGGTTTCACCTTATTGGCCAGGCTGGTCTCGAACTCCTGACCTCTTGATCTGTCCATCTCAGCCTCCCAAAGTGCTGGAATTACAGGCATGAGCCACCACACCCAGCTTTGACATTCCAATATTTTTATATTTCAAATTATGTATACTGAATGATTTGGTGACAGAAATTTGCTTGCATTTGCCTGTTGGCTTCAGTAAAAATGTTGCAGTAATTATGGGTATGCAAATCACTCTTTACATTACCATATATGTGAAAGTTTATGTATGTGCAGCATTCTATTTGATTAGTCTACTTTTTCACCTTGAGACTCCTACCAATTTGTTTTAATTCTGTAGCTTGTTTTTTTTATTGTTGTTGTTTGGGGTTTTTTTTTTTGTTTTATTTTTGTTTTTTTTTGAGATGGAGTCTCACTCTGTCACCCAGGCCAGGCTGTAGTGTAATGGCATGGTCTCAGCTCACTGCAGCCTCTGCTTCCTGGGTTTAAGTGATGCTCCCACCTCAGCCTCTTGAGTAGCTGGGACTACAGGTGCATGCCACCACACCTGGCTAATTTTTGTATTTTTAGTGGAAACGGGGTTTCAGTATGATGGGCAGGCTGGTCTCAAACTCCTGACCTTGTGATTCGCCCACCATGGCCTCCCAAAGTGCTGTGATTACAGGTGTGAGTCACTGCACCTGGCCTAATTCTGTAGCTTTTTAATGTGTTTTGAAATCAGGAACTATAATGGCTCTAACGTTGTTCCACTTTCTGAAGATTTTTCTGTACATTGTTGTCTCTTGAAATTTGCTATACTTTTTGGGTTGCTGTTCATAGCTCTTCGAAAATGCAATGAGAATTTTGAAAAACATGCATTCAATGTGAAGATTACATAGAGCAGCATGAACAGTGTCACAGTAGTAATCATTTTAACCTTTGAACAAGAGCACACTCAAGAGTGTGTTACTTTCTTTTTTTTTTTTGAGACAGAGTTTCCACTCTTGTCACCCAGGCTGGAGTGCAATGACAGGATCTTGGCTCACTATAACCTCTGCTTCCCAGGTTCAAGCAATTCCCCTGCCTCAGCCTCCCGAGTACCTGGGATTACAAGCGCGTGCCGCCACACCCAGATAATTTTTTATATTGTAGTAGAGATGGGTTTCACCATGTTGGCCAGGATGGTCTCGATCTCCTGAACTCATGATCTGCCTGCCTTGACCTCCCAAAGTGCTGGGATTACGTGCGTGAGCCACCGCACCAAGCCTGTTACTTTCCATATATCTGTAAATTTTTCAGCTGTTTCTATTATTGTTTTACGGTCTTATTCCATTTTGGTCATACAAAGTAATCCATAAAATTTCAGTTAAAAAAATTTTAAGCCTTTTTTTTTTGGCCTAATAGGTGAACTATCAAGGAGAAAGTTGTATGGGCTATTGAAAAGAGTGTATATCCTGATGCTGAGGAGTGTTCTCTATACCTCTGTTAAAAATATTTGTTTTATGTTGCCTTTAAGTCCTCTGTTCACTTACTAATATTCTGTCTTGTCTTATTATTACAAAAAGTGGAGTATTGAAATATTCTACTGTAATTATATTGCTCTCTATGTTGCTTTCTATGTGCTTCTTCAATTCTATCAATATTTGCTTCATTTATTAGGAACTCTAACGTGAGATACAGACACACACACACACACACACACACACATTTGTTATAGGTTCCCAGTAAATTAATCTATTATTGTTTAATGTTCTTTTTCCCTTTGGAGTTTTGATTTCAAGTACATTTTATAAAGTATGACAGTTTTTGGCTTAAGATTTCGCTTGTATAATGTTATTTTGACCTCTTCTTTTATTTGGTTAATGTTTGCATGCAATGTCTACTTCCATCTTGCCACTTTCATTATTTTATTAGATCTCAACTGCCTCTTGTAGAAAGGCAAGTTGGATCTTGATTTTTAAATTTTCAAATAAATCCTTTTATTGAAAGTATGTCTCTTGATTGAAAAGTTAATTTTATATATATTTAAATACTTTTCTAAGGTATGTCTCTTGATTGGGAAGTTAATTTTATATTTATTTAAGTAATTTTCTAAAGGAGAAAGACTTACTAATGTTATTCTATTTATTGTTTTATTTTATTTTTTTCCCTAATTTTCTCTTTTTCTGTCTTTTTTGTCTTTTTGATTTTTGTATTCATATGCTTATACTTTCTTATTTTCTTTTGTGTATCTATACGGATATTTTCTTTCTGGTATCTTGGGGATTACATAAAACTTAAAAGGTACAGCAATATATTTTAATCTGGTAAAAAATTAACTTCAGTTGCGTACAAAAATTCTTCCTCATTACATCTGCTCTCAACTTGGTTACTGATATAGCTAATTATATCTTTTTGTGTTGTATATTCATTAATAGATGATAATTTCTATGCTTTTATCTTTCAACTTTTAGAGAAAAATTAAAAGTGTTTTCTGCACCATTATGGTAATGCTGTGAAATTCTGTTTTGTGTGTGTGCATATTTTTCCCAGAAAGTTAGTATTTACGTGTGATTATTTGTTGTTTTTTGTTGCATCATGTTATTTTCAGTAGAAGGAACTGCTTTCAGCATTTTTGCTATATAGGACATATGTAGTGCCAATATACTTTCTCAGGATTTAATTATTTTAGAATGTCTTTTACTACTTATTTGTTAGAACAGTTTGCTGATGATATTTTTCTCACTCGACAGAATTTTTTTTTCTAGGACTTTGACTATGTCACACAGTTGCCTTCTTGCCTGCAAAATTCTTGTTCACAGATTCACTGGTTATAAGACTATGCTAATAAATGACACATCACTTTTGTCTTGCCACTCCTAAGATTATCTTTTTGTCTGACTTTTGAAATTCTTCTAATATTTTTGTGTGTTATAAATATTTTGTGTGTGTGTATCCTAGTTGGTTTGTTCAGCTTCTTCATATTTATATCATTTTTATGGTTGTTTTCTGAAAGTTTAATAATGTTTTTGATGGGCCTGCGCTGCCCTAATATTTTGTATACATTATAATCTTTGATTGGGATTTGGACATTAAAAACAAGCTACCTGTCACAATCTTTATAATGTAGTAGCTTTCTCCTGGCATAGTCTGAAACAAATTGTCTTGGCTAGAGATTCTGTGAGTCTCTCATACATGTCCTTAGAATGTGTCTTGTCTGAAATTTTTTTTGTGTGTGTTTTTTTAGTTGAGTTTATTCATATTTCTTCTTAATAGTCAGTAATCACTTGATACACCTCTTCCCTGTCTGTAATACTGCAGTCTCTGTGGTGCTGCACCATTTATCTTTGGTCTCAGCACTCTCAAACTGTTATTCCAAAGTATATCCCCATTTATTTCAGCATTTTGTGTTACAGGAGACCGAAACCAGTGTCTGGTAAGACCCCTAGAAGCCAGAAATTTAGATGTATGTGCCAATATTTTTCTTGTATTTTAAAATAGAAACCAGGAGTTGGCAATTTGCTTCTGAAGGCACTGTGTTATATTAGGGGGCAGGAATAGCTGTATTGGTTAAATATAATGTACTTTTCTTTTCCTTTTATATGATTCTGCATTGTGCTCACCTGTGGCACTGCACACATTTAACTCATTTATACATTTTCCACAAATGTATTTTGACCCTTAAGTTTTTGTTTCATTTATATATTTATGAAGAAATTAGACCCTGTGGTATTTTGATATGCTATTTGCTTATGTCATTTGTATGCTTTTATAGGTTTGATTTGTATATTTATCTGAGCCTAGTAAGTGGAGTAATTTGTTGTTTTAATTTCTTTTAGTTATGCGTTCTCATTTTGTTGAAGAACTTTGGCCAGAGCAAAACATAAAAGATTCTTTCCAAAAAATGATACTGAGGAGATACAATAAATGTGGACATAAGAACTTACAATTAAATAAAGGCTGTAGAAGTGTGAATGAGTGTAAGCTGCACAAAGGAGGTTATAATGGACTTAATCAATGTTTCACAACTACCCAGAGCAAAATATTTCAATGTTATACATATATAAAAGTGTTTCATATATTTTCAAATTCAAATAGACCTAAAATAAGACATACTGGAAAGAAACCTTTCAAATGTAAAAAATGTGGCAAATCATTTTGCATGCTCTCTCAACTAACTCAACATGAAAGAATTCATACTGGAAAGAAACTCTACAAATGTGAAGAATGTGGCAAAGCCTTTAACTGGCCCTTAGTCCTTAGTCAACATGAGAGAATTCATACTGGAGAGAAACACTATAAATGTGAAGAATGTGGCAAAGCATTTAAGCAGTCCTCAAGCCTTACTAGACAGAAGAGAATTCATACTGGAGAGAAATACTACAAATGTGAAAAATGTGGCAAAGCCTTTAACCGTTTCTCAAACCTTACTATGCATAAGGTAATTCATACTGGCGAGAAACCCTACAAATGTGAAGAATGTGGCAAAGCCTTCAACCGGTCTTCCATCCTTACTATGCATAAGATAATTCATACTGGAGAGAAACCCTACAAATGTGAAGAATGTGGCAAAGCCTTCAACCAGCCTTCAAACCTTATTATGCATAAGAGAATTCATACTGGCGAGAAACCCTACAAATGTGAAGAATGTGGCAAAGCCTTCAACCAGTCTTCAAACCTTACTGTGCATAAGATAATTCATACTTGGCAGGGAGAAACCCTACAATGTGCAAGAATTGGGGCAAAGCCATTTAAGCGTCCTCAAGCCTATACTACACATAAGATAATTCATGACTTGAGAGAAAACCCCTACAAATGTGAAGATTGGTTGTCAAAGCCATTTAAGCTAGTCCTCAAGGCTTACATAGACATTAAGAGGGACATTCATACTGGGAGGAGTAAACCGCTTACAATGCTGCAGCGGATGGTGGCAAAGCATTTAAGCAGTCCTACAAACCTTACTACACATAAGATAATTCATACTTTGGGAGGAGAAACGGCCTACAAATGTGAAGAATGCTGGCAAAGCATTTAAGCAGTCCTCAAACCTTACTAAACATAAGAGATTCATACTAGGAGAGAAAAACCTGAAGAGTGGGTGAAGAATATGGCAAAGCCTTTTAACCAATTTCTCACCATCTTACTAAACATAAGTAATCATACTGGAGAGCAAAACGCATACAAATGGCTGTTAAATGTTGGCAAGCCTTTTAACCGAGCCTCCTTGGATGTTTTACTTAAAATTGAGAATTTCATGTGAAAATGAAACCCTACCTTAGGGCCGGGCGCGGTGGGCCTCAAGCCTGTAAATCCCAGCCACTTGTGGGCGAGGCGGAGGACGGGCGGATCACAAGGTCAGGAGATCGGACCATCCCTGGAAACACCCGTGAACCCCGTCGTCTACTAAAAAATAGGAAAAACTAGCCCGGGGCCAGAGGGCGGGCGCCTGCAGGTCCCAGACTACTCGGGGCTGAGGCAGGGAAGGAAAAAAAAATGGCCGTTTATTTTTTGTAAAGACCTGAACCCTGGGAGGCCGGAGCCTTGCAACACAAGTGAGCTGAGATGCCCGGGCCACTGCCACTCCAGACCGCAGGGAGCCCTGACAGAGTGAGACTCCGTCTCAAAAAAAAAAAAAAGAAAAATAAAAAAAAGAATGTGATGAAGCCTTTAACAAGTTCTCAAATCTTATTACACGTAATACTGGAGAGAAAACATAAAAGTGTGAAGAACTTTACAAAGCCTTTAACAAGTCCTCAGTTCTTAATAGACATAAGATAATTCATCCTAGAGAGATATTCTGCAAACCTGAAAGATGTGACAATGCTTTTAACAACACCTTAAACTTTTACAAACATAAAAGTAATCATACGGGTACAAAACCCTAGAAATGTGAAGAATGTGAAAAAGCCTTTAAATGGTTTTCACACTTGATTGTAGGTAATATAATTTATACTGGAGAATTCCAAGTGTGAATAATGTGGCAAAACCTTTTTTCTTTCTTTTTTTTTTTTTTTTTTAACAGAGTATTTGTGTTTGGCTTAGTAATGGACCTATCTTCTTAAACCAAAATCAAAGTTCCTACACA